ATTAATTAGGTGCTTATCAGATATCCCCTGCGAGGGCAAGAGCTGGGTTTTTTTTTGTCTGCGTTGCCGCAGAGCCTTGTCTTGCAGGGTAGTCGGTCACGGGTAACCCACGTTTATTTGGCAGTGAGTAATCTAGAGCGCAGCCTCGGCCCGTTTTGGAGTTGCTGGGGTGGAGATCTTCAGCCACTGGGTGCCAAACTGACTTCTGGCTGCCAGCTTGGTGTCTTCCCAAGCTCGGCCTATTTACTTTGGTGAGCGGTTCTGGGTTTGATGCAGGGTGCTTTTATCTCATCCTAGAGGGTCTTTTCTTTTTGCTGTTCAGAACGGAAGCGCTGACCTCCCATGAAGAGCCAAACAACAGCAGGATTACTTTTGTTAGGCTTGGGAGGTGCATAAAATTCTGCTTTACATTGATCCAGGAAAAAATTACAAAGAAAATGATGAGCTTGCTTGGAAACCAGAAATGCAATTAGCACCATGCATACTGCAAACGAGCTCGGCACCTTTGAGTTGCTGATAGGTTCTGCCTTTTCTGCTCTTTGCTCCCTTTCTCTCCAAGTTGTCTAAAGCTCCCTGCAGGAGATCAAAGCTTTGGGGGCTGTGAGGCTGTTGCAGGGCTGGGTGCTCCCTTGCAAACCCACGTGCAGTCGAACTCTATAGGCCAGGATAGCTAAAAAAGTTGAGCTTTTGTAGCACAAGGGTTTACTGAAGGCCGCCTTCCCCAGCCCTACAACTAAACCAGCTTGTTTATTCTTTCAAGGTCTACTTTTTTTTATCATTGAAAACTCAAATACCCTCTCCCCTTGAGAAAAAGAAAAAAAATTAGAAAAAAGAGCCACCCACTAACACAAAGAAAGGACTTCTTTTGTAAAGCCAATGTGAAGAGATCAAGGACACCATTGTTATTTTTTCCTATTGTAAGGATAGGCTGCGGCTCCCAGTTAATCCATAATAAGTCTACTTTTTTTTTTCAATGGACTCATTCACAGTACGAATGCCATTAGGCTCCTCCAACAACCAATACTGAAATATGTCACTTTTACGACAAGACCTCCATGTAGTCCTGTACTCTAATATCATGTGTGTAAACTGGAAGCTATTGACTTTAATGAGCAGCTTTAATAAATTAACCTAATAAATTAATATTCCTAATTAAGATTTCTAAAAACTAATATTTTTTGTCAGGAATTTGGGACACAGAATTGGAAGAAAAAATCTTTACCTGGAATGAGAGGAGAGTCTCTGTAGGACTCTGATACAGTTTTAGTTCAGACAGGGAGATTCGGTAATTAAGTGTGGGTTCCTAATGAAACTCCCTGCTTGGGAGGGGAGACCTGAGTGAGAAAACTACACTTTTTAATAAGGGCAAGGAGGGGAGGAGGGGAGGAGAGGGCAGCCCACAGCTGTGTCCATAGAAAAGGAGGATGGAAGCCTGCAGCAGGGAGGTCCTTAGGAAATTCTATGTATATTTTTCTTTGTCCTTGACCCCAAATCCCACGGGACAGGGGAAAGTCTAGCTCAGTGAGATATATTAATCAAGGCCACTGCAGCACTTCTGTGAATAACTTGAAGAAAGGGGAGTTTCAGCGTTTTAAGCTGCATTCAGGTACTCAACCCAGTATGACTTCCCATGCCAAGCTGTGCATCTCTGCACATGCTGTTGCACCCAAAGGTGCCTCCTAGCTCCGAAACATGGATGCAAAACTCGTCCCTGCCTGCACTACCCCTGTACCTGGGAAGGGGAGCCAGGTTTGTGAGTGTGCTCCACGCCATGGTCCCCCCTGCAGCTCTGCACGCTGCCAGGCCCCACAGACAGCCATGTGTGCCCGAAACACAGATGCAGGGGCACTCCACACTGAGGGGAATGCAGCATCATTAAACACCATGGTAAAATGAGGGCAAAAAAAGGTATCTGATCTGATCATTTCTTTGAACATTTTTTTTTAACAAAAGTTAATTCTCTGTGGATTTTGCTAACACGTCTTCTCTCGCACATATAACTGGAGCACTGTGTTACACAGAGATCTTTTTACAATAGCTGCCAGAGCAACAGAGCCAAATGAAAAATAGTGCACAAAGAAATGCATTAGCCAGAGAATCCAAGAGGGACATTGCAGAGCATGGAGCATCTTTCAGCACAGACCTGGTCGAAACATTAAAACTCAGATCAGCAAGTACCGTAAACACAGATTTCTTAAAATCTACGGAGATGAGCAATTTGTTTGCTGTCAGTCATTAAAAGTAACTGAGGACCTCAGTTGCTGGAGGTCCTCCCAAAGCTATGCAATTCAAAGCTGCTTACTTAGATTTCATGATAACATGTGTCTAGTGATGGCACACAGTAAGTAAATAGAAAATTACTAAAATACTGAGTGGCTCCGCAGTGCCCTTCTGGCAGTGGTGCTTGTGTCCATGGCCATGGGCCGCGTGTGCAGCCTGCAAACACAGCTGACCGTGGGCAACTTCCCCCAGTTGTCACTGTCTTCTGCTTCCCTACCAAGCCCATGCAATGATTTCTACAGTTTTTGGACTGCAGTGAGAACCCAGGATCATGCGAAAAGCTGGATCCTGTTTCCCTCCATTTGACCAGCTTCCAGGATGGGCTCTGGAAAGTAAAGGCATCAGCAGTGCTGTAAATTCCCTCCGAGCTGGGCAGGGAACCCAAGAGGTCCAGCCCTGGCTCCAAGCAGCCATGGGCTGCGGAGGCTCCAGCGAGCCAGTGGCTGGGGTCCAGCTGTCAAGAATAACCTGAAATGACACGAATACACCCAACCACAAATAATTTGACAGTTTGATATGTTCATAGGACACAGCTTATATGGTGCTTTCCTTCACCACTGTCTGCGCTTGCTGTATCAGCCTAGCAAGGTCTGGCAAGCCCCATAAGATCTTTCAGACCAATAAAGTTTATAATCAAAAGGCAACTTGGCGTGGGCCATCTGTGTCCAGATAAGGGACAGAAGAAAGAAGGAAAAAGAGGAAAAAAGAGCAAGAAGAAAATCTAGAAGTGTAGGTGAATTTGAAGAGGAAAAAGCAAAAACAAAAGAACGGTATAGCAATTTCAGTGAAGCGGTGGCTGGGGTGGCACAGAGCTGCTGGCTCCTTCCCACCGTCCCGGCTCCAGGCTGCCTGTGAAACTCATAATTGGTTGTGCTTAATGGTCACGTAGCCATGAAATTGGCTGATTTTTTTCCACTGACGGGAGAAGAAAAATGACTTTATTCAAGGTATCTGTGTCCTCTGCAAAGGGGGTTGTGTGGCCCAAGATGGACGTGCCTGGGATGAAGCAAAAGAAAATAGAACAAAAACCATATCAGCGAAGGAGGTGGATGCGCCAGTGCCAAACTGGGTCTCCAAGGAAGGGAAGCAAAAGGAAATGCTCGCTCTGGAAGCTGAACCCTTCCGAGGGTTGGGCAGGAACGACTTCTTCCCCGTGTGTTTTGTCTGGTGTTTCAGGTTGTGGAGAATCTGTATGAGCCTCAGCCGAGGACCATAAAGGGCTGTCAAAAAAGAACCTTAAAATACTGTTTTTATACAGAACTCTCAGAGTTTACAAAAATGTAAAGGACTCTGTGCAAATAGTAAGTTCCCTGCTGCTTTTTGTTTAGGAGCCTCCATCCAGCCATCACAGTAAAGATACACAGCCTCTTTGACATTTCCTTAACAGTTCTCCTTTTAGGTAATGTAAATAACATTTTTTACATTAACATCTTATTTATGTAGACTCTTCTGTCTCGGCAGATGTCCTACAGCTGTAGGTGTATGAAATACAGAGCAGGGTTTATGGGGGTGATTGTGCAAGTAAGGAGCCCCTTCGGCAGAGCCATGGACCTCCAGAGGAGCCGGAGGGCCACAAATGTCATGAGTTGGACGGTGCAGTTAGGGACAGCTCCTTTTGAAGAGGCTGGAGCTGACTGTGGCCAAAGGCGACTAGACCTTATTGAGCAGGGGGCTAACGATGCTGGGTAATTAGCAGGGAAAGGCTGGGGGCCTATGCATGGGCCCTTGCTCATTGCTATCGTGAGAGGTTAGCACACTTGAGCCCATGCTGAGCACAGCGCAACGAGGACCCATGCGTGACTATGGGAGAAGCAGCTATTTCGGCTAACGATCTTTTCCCACAACCGCACCA